GACGTGCTCCCGGACGAGATCCCTGCGGAGCTTCCGCAGAACAAGGGAATACAGCACGAGATTGATCTCGTGCCGGGGACAACGAATTGCGTAAGCACTCCAAGCGGTATGCTTTGGGAGTGGCTAGTTATGCTGCAAAGACTGAAGAACGTCCCTGCGACCTTCAATAGATGCGTCACGCATCTATTGCGTTCGGTGCGCGACTTCGCACCGAGCTACTTCGACGATGTGTACGTTCACAGCCGGGCTGTGAACGAGAAGACGGACATCGAGATGTACAAGAAGCATCTCAGTGAACTGCTTTGGCTCATGCGCAAGCACAAGCTCTATGCGAACCTGAAGAAGTGCATCTTCGGTGCGAGCGAGATACCCGTGCGAGGACGTATCGTAGGGAAGAATGACGTACGCTCTGACCCCGAGAAGGTCGGAGTGGTCAACGAATGACCTACGCCATCCAACGTGAAGGAACTGCGGCAGTTTCTTGGCCTTGCCACGTACTTATGCAAGTACGTGGGCAACTACGCAGGCAAGATTCGCCCGCTGTCGCGGCTTCTGAAGAAGGAAACTGCGCGTGAATGGACTGCTGAGTATCAGCAGGCGTTCGATGTAGTCAAGCTGGGCTTGACTGGATCGCAGATCTAGGCTGTGTGTGACCAAGATCGTCCCTTTCACATAGTGTGTGACGCATCCGATTTTGCGATCGGATGTGCGTTAATGCAACTCGATCACGACGGTCGAGATCGAGTCGTCTACTACCAGTCGCGTCCGCTAAAGCCTGCTGAGCGAAACTGTCCGGTACATGACAAGGAACCCCTTGCCATGAAGTACGCACTCGCGAAGTTTCGAGTGTACTTACTCGGCAACACGCCGTTCGTGGCACGCGTCGTGGAGCACGGCTGTGAAGTCTCCACACAGCACTTACTCGGCAACACGCCGTTCGTGGTCTATACGGACCACGCGTCGTTGAGGGCGGCTGTGAATTCTCCACACATCCCGTAACGAATGGCGAGATGATTGTCCTTCTTCGCGGAGTACAACGTCCGGGTCGAGTACAAACCCGGAAGGTTGAATGTCGTCGCGGACGCGTTGTTGCGACGACTCGATTATGCTGTCAAGACAGTCAACGTCAACCGGATTGACGTCGCTCGGACATATACACCATCGTCGTCCTTGTTGGACGAGGTGGCGGGCGCGTGTGCGCATGACGCAGACGCGAAGCAGCTGATCGAGTTTCTCTCAGCTCCTTCCGATAAAACACGTCTGAAGTTGGCCCCTCGTCTACGAGCGAGGGCACACCGGTATCGTGTGCACGACGGTCTACTGTTTTACAGCACTGTAGACGACAATGCGTTCCGCATTGTCGTGTCGAATGATCCTGACCTGCGCAGCAGGATCATGTACGAGAATCATGATGTCCCCACGGCAGGACATCCGGGACGTGAAAAGACGTATTCCCTTCTTGCGAGAGACTTCTACTGAAAGCATCAGTACAAGTGGGTGCGCAAGTAGGTACGTACTTGCGCTGTTTGCCTGCGAATGAAGCCTGCACCTCATTCGCAGGCTCCTCTGCAACTACTGCCAACTCCGTCGGAGTGTTGGGAGTCCATTTCGATATACTTCGTGTTTGGTCTTCCAGGGGGAAGACTGGGATTGTGGTCTTTGTTGACCGCTTCAGCAAGATGGTGCATCTCGTTGCTGTCGCAGCGGAGGTGACCTCCGTACAGACGGCACGTC